CCTTTATATTTCCTAGTGTTCTATTGAATAAATGTACTACAATTTGCTTATCCATTTATTTGTTGATGAACATTTGGACTGTTGGCAATTTTTGCCTGTTATGCGTAAAGCTGCTAAAAAACATTCTTGTACAAGTCTTTCATTTCATATGTTTTTCTTTTTCTGGCGTAAAAAACTACAAGTAGAATTGTTGGGTAATAAATAGGCACTCATCTAATATTATAAGCAACTGCACAACAGTTTTTCAACGTGGCTGTACTATTTCACTCTCCCAGGGGCAACGTATGTGTTTTCCAGCTACTCCACATGCTCACTGGCATTTCCTGTTGCCAGTTTAAACATTTCATCCATTCCAGTGGATGTGAAATCTCTCTGGTTGTAATAATTGTATTTCTCTGATGACTAATTATGTCAAGCCCCTTTTCAAATGCTTATCAGCCACTTCTATACTGTCCTCTGTGACATGTCCATTCAACTCTTTTTGCTCATTCTTTAAAAACATTGGGTTGGTTGTCTTTCTCTTTGTTTGTCTTCCGCTTTTCATTTATAGGAGTGCATATCTTCGGAATACAAGCCCTTTGTCAGATAAATGTATTGTGAATAATTTTCTCCTGGTTTGTGGTTTGCCTTTTCATGTTCTTAATATCTTTTGATGAGTGGAAATTTTAACTTTCAAATTAAGTTCAGTAGATCAACTTGTTTTTTGTTTTTTTGGTTTTTTTTTTGACACTGGGTCTCACTTGTTGCCCAGGCTGGAGTATAGTGGCGCCATCATGGGTCACTGCAACCTGTGCCTCCTGGGCTCAAGAGATCCTCCTGACTCAGCCTCCCAAGTAGCTGGCACCACAAGCGTGCACCACTACGCTTGGCTAATTTTTTGTATTTTTGGTAGCCATGGGATTTCGCCATGTTGCTCAGGCTGGTCTGGAGCTCCTGATTCACCCACCTCAGCCTACAAAGTGCTAGGATTACAGGCGTGAGCCACCACACCCAGTCGAGTAGATGAAGTTTTAATTTTACGGCCAGTAGAGATCTATTTCAAGGCTCTCTATTTTGTTCTGTTGCTCTGTTTATCTACCTTTATGCCAATTTTCTTCTCTTTTGATTCAGATAGGGTTACATAATAATTATTTTTTCCAGGGATAGATGAACCAGGCTGGTGAAGGTGTTCAAGGGAGTCATTAAGACCCTGGCTCCTTTCATCCTTCTGTTCCATCTCCTTTGGCTCGTGGATTTTGTTTTCCAGGTGGCAACATGGTGCCTCCACCTTTGGTATCCTATTTTAGCTCCTGGCAGAAAGAAAGGAACAGGCTAATGGCCCTGATTAGTCTACCCCCTTTTAACAGGAGAAAATTTAAGAAACAAAAACCTTTCGCAGAGGCAACAACCAGAATTCCATTTATCTTTCATTGACCAGAACAGACCACATGGTCACTGGTGGTGGCAATGGACACTGGGGAGATGAATATATTTAAGGTGGCACATCCCAGAAGAACAGTGTGCACCGATTGCATTAATGAACCCATTCATGTGCCAAGGGGAGGTTTACCTATTAGCATGGTCAAATTAGAACCCACTGTTGGAGCTGCAGGTGAGCCAATCCCACCTAAACAGTGTGGATGCTACAAGATGGAGAAGTAAATTGATTCTATTCCATACCCTAACCTCTCTCCAAGATGTAGTCTTAAAATAGAAGAGGGAAGACAGAAGGAAGCATCCAGAATATATTTTTATTGTCTTTTACTTCTTCAGCTCACTTTAGATCAGTGCTTCTCAATCTGGCAAGGGGCATGCAGGAGGATGTGAGTTTTATCAGGGAAAGCTACACAACCCCCCATCCACAATGCTACCCCCACTCCTGTGGACCTTCTTTAAGAGAGACTTAATATTATAGATGGAGTTGATATGATTTTAAGAGAGGCCATATATTATTTGCTTTCTGTCTTGAAAAACTTGTGATTTTTCTGTATTGTGCTACTGCCAAAGAGAATAGAACCCTGACTGAGGTGTCAATGTTTATGTAACTGATTTCATGTGCTTTCTGTAGTTCTACCGTTTCTGAAAGTTATAAATTTCTTGTGTGTGTGCAGTTGGGGAGTGTGTCCTCCTCCTTCCGCTCTTATAACACGCATTAGCACATCAAAATGCTCTAGTCTTTGTATGATTATGTGGCATGTGGTGATGCAGCCTCACCGTGGAAGGCCTTTTCTTGAGCCATTACAAATGTAACATTACTTTCAATCAGATAGTGCCATTAAGGATTTCATTACGGCCGTCACATCCCGTGACGTCTCTAAATGTGCAGCATTAGGGCCTAAGTGCAGCCCTGCAGGTAGGGTTGCCAGGTTTAACAAATAAAAATTACATGCTGGCCAGGCGGGGTGGCTCATGCCTGTAATCCCAGCACTTTGGGAGGCTGAAGCAGGTGGATTATTTGAGGTCAGGAGTTTGAAACCAGCCTGGCCAACATGGTGAAACCCCGTCTCTACTAAAAATACAAAAATTAGCCAGGCATGCTGGCAAGTGCCTGCAATCCCAGTTACTTGAGAGACTGAGGCAGGAGAATCACTTGAGCCCTGGAGGGGGAGGCTGCAGTGAGCCGAGATTGCACCATTGCACTTCAGCCTGGGTGGCAGAGCAAGATGCTATCTAAAACACACCACCATATTTGGGGCATGCTGATACTAAGAAATCATTCATTATTTGTCTGAAATTAAAATTTAAATTGGGGGCCCTGTATTTTACTGGGCAACCCATTTGCAATATCAGTAACAATTTCTTATTCAGACCACCAACTAAATGTGCAAAATTTGAATCTCTGAACGGTACCTAAGTCCTTGATACCTTAAATTAATCAATGTCTTAGACACTCAAAGCAGTAGGAAGCATTATGGCAGATGTTTGGGCCCCAGAGATGTCCGTGAGCACAACATAGAGCTCAGAGCCTTCTCTGTTATTTGCTTCACGACAGAGCAAAGGACTGCAGCAGGTTGACTGATATAAAAGTCTTACCATGTCTCACAGCAGGCCTTTGCTCAAGTTTCCAGTAAGGCTATCATATCATTTCTTCCCTGCAGTACTTGTAAATCCATTTACACTGCCTGCTGTTGAGTCATTTGTTTCGTCATGAGTAGCATGTCATCCTGGTTCCGAGAAGATAGTGAGTTTAGTGACAGTAGCCAAGCAACAGCAGAGCAGCCTCAACCAAAACGGTTTTCCATTTTGGTGGGATGAAGTGAAACACAAGCATCTTCTATCCAGGGGAGATTTGGGGATCATAAAGAATCAATCTGGGCTGGTACCACCATATTGGCTGCTGCGTTAGTTTTCTAGAGTTGCCGTAACTAGTCTCACAAGCTGGGAGGCTTTACACAACAGACACGTATTGTTTCATAGTTCTGGATGCTGGAAATCTGGAATCAGGGTGTCAGCAGGGCTGTGCTCCTGCGGAAGTCTCCAGGGGAGAAGCTCCTGCATGGTTTTCTCTTAGCTTCCGGTGTTGCCAGCAATCCCTGGCGTTCCTTGGCCTGCAGGCGGATCACTCCCATCTCTGCCTTTGTTGTCACATGGCATTTTCCCAGTGTGTCTGACTCTGTGTTTCTTCTCAAAAGAACATCAGTCATATTGGATTACAGGCCCATGCTACTCCATTATGACTGCATCTTAACTTAACCAATTACATCTGCAGTGACCCTGTTTGCAAATAAGGTCGCATTCTGAGGTTCCAGGAGTTAGAACATAGACATATCTTTTGGGAACAAAATTCAAGTGATAACAGTTTCGAAGACAGACTAGTCCTGGAGTTTGTAAGGTGAGCCAGGACCAAGGAGCCAGGATTGTCATTTTGTAAGGTCCAGGAACAAAGTGATGTTAACAGAAAGAACATATTTTTGTTGTTGTTGTTGTTTGTTTTGAGACAGTCTCACTCCATCACCCAGGCTGGAATGCAGTGGTACAGTCTCGGGTCACTGCCACCGCCACCTCCCAGGTTCAAGGGATTCTACTGCCTCAGCCTCTTAAGTAGACGGGATTACAGGCGTGTGCCACATGCCCGGCTAATGTGTGTGTGTACATATATATACATTTTTTTTTCCTTTTCTTTTCTTTTAGTAGAGACTGGGTTTCATCATGTTGCCCAGGCTGGTCTCGAACTCCTGCCCTCAAGTGATCCACCTGTCTTGGCTTCCCTCAGTGCTGGGACTACAGACATAAACCACCACACCCAGCCAGAAGGAATATGTTTCCTTCAAGTCTCACTTGACTGGCTGGTTCCCTAGATAACAACAGAGGATGTCTGCTGCAGTTCTCATTGCTGGGGAGTCTGAACTGGAATAAAACACCCACTATCTCCATCGGGCTTGCACTAGAGCCCAGCTCTAGCTGGAGAGAAAGAAGCTAACCCGCACAGACACAGGACTGTAGGCAGGGAGCATCCGGGGTATATAGGTCCTGACTCTGATGTACCTAAGGCCAACTTCTCTCTGGTCATGCTGGCGTGCATGAGCTCACTAATCTTCCTTTTTGCCTTCCATTTTCTCCAATCCTGACTTAGCAAAGGCTGGGCAAAAGAGGCTCTGTGTGAGTTCGAACAAAGCCTGAGATGCTGGATTTTCCAAGATACAAGAAGGGGCTGGGGGCTGGGTGAACTGGTGGTAGAGAAGGGAAGAATTAGTTTCCCAAAGAGGGGAAGGGGCCAGGACATCAGGCCCTGAGGACTTGGAAGAGGGGGTCGTGGGTAGGAGGTAGATCAAGTGGAGTGACACAAAGATCAGGAAAGAGGAAGTGTCCACACTGTCCTTGGACAGACTTGAGTCTATAGGACTTCCTCCCTGCCTAGTACAAGGAAATGAGTAAGATAATGTAACTTCTGGCCCTCTGACATTGCACTGCCCCGATGTCACAGTTGGCAACTGTACCTGCCCCCATCCTTGTCTGGGGTGTGTTTGGTCTGGGGAGGGCTGGTGAAGCAAGAGGTACTCAGAAAAGGGACAGAAATTGCTTCCTATTATCTGGGCATTTGGAGGTGAAGGGGTCAAAGCTCTGGCAAAGATGGGGCTGAAAGGGCCTGGGCTCCAGCAAGGGGCGGCTCTGTATGACCTGGTTCCTGCATCCCACCTTTGCCCCCTAGCACCTCCTCTCATCTCCCGTTTCTGCAGAGGAGGACCCTGCCACATCTGGACAATTCTGCAAGAACTCTGTAGAACTGACTTCACTGTGAACCAGGCATTGTACATCTCAGAAGTCAACAGAAACAAAAATGCTCACATTTAATCACAATGCTCCCTGGCATACACAGAAGACTCTGAAAATTTCTGAATTTGGGAAATCCTTTGGCACCTTGGGGCACATTGGGAACATAAGCCATCAGTGCTGGTGTGTGTGTGTGTGTGTGTGTGTGTATCTTTTACCATGCCTCCTACAAATTTGACCTGGGCCCAGGGCCATGTTCAGTGGTTTTTAAGAACCCAGGCTCCCAGAAGCGGTATTGGGCAGCTAGAGTAGCCCCAGAATCTACATCAAACTCTACCTGTTTCTCAACCAAATTTCTTCCGGAATTTTATTCCATAAATCTGAATTATGCTGTCAGACTCCTAGCGAACACTAAAGGAACTCTCTGCCTTGCATTAAATAACTGTGGTCTCCCTGAAAGAGTCCCCCTGGAGGTAACTCCCTGACTCTTTAGAGAACAGACGTTGAATAGGCATTAGGGGATGTGATGGATGTGCTAACCTTCAAAAAAAAAAAAAAAAAAAAAAAAAGAAGGCTTGAGCTGAGTGCTCAGAGATTCACAAAAAGCTGACAGCATCTCTCTGTTCCATTGGAAGCTGGGTGATCCTTTCTACTCTTTCCTAAGAAAGGCATTTGGGCAGGAAAAAGCTGTATCTCTGTCTTCACTGACAGGATTTCTAAGTCCAAGGGTGAAGGACCAGGAGAGGGGAGATATGACAGGTCAATGTGGGGTTCATCCACTTGACTGAGAACCAGAGGGATCCCATCATTGCCAGGGCAGATGCTCCATTTTTGGGGGCATCATTCATTCTTTCCTGTTCTCCCTGCATTACTCTGGCTCCTGCTCAAGAGAGGTGGCCGCTGGCAAGAGAGCTTGGTGGAGGTGGGAGGTAGGGGGTCAGAGGTGAGGGGTGGGGGGTTCATGAACCAGGACCTAGCATATAGTCTCCAGCCTGCTGATGGCTCTCTTGGATGCTTCAAAGGGGAGGAGAAGATCCTAGACATGGGAAACGTTGGTGGGTGTTCTGCTGGGGCATCTGTAGCCTCTGAGAAGGCTCCCAGGCTCTCCTAAGCTTGCACCGTCACACCCTGGGCACTTGTTGAATGTCTTTACTTAGCTTACAGCCTCTGGTTCCTGTTAGGAAACTCAGGGCTTGCCACAGTGTTCATTTTCCTTTGCGGGCAACTCCGTTCCTGGCATTTATCCTATTACGCATTGTACTGCCCGCTTTGAGCTGTGTCAAGGTTCTGAGAATCTATCCCTTGGCTTGGGAAGGGTCACCTCTGTGGCCAGATCACTTCCTGATGGGTCCTGGGGCACCACAACACAGAGGAGGCTCGTCCTCTTTCTGGGGTTCACTGCCTTGCTCCTTCTCCCGGTCAATATGTGACCTTGGATGGGTTGCGTGAGTCCTTTGGGCGTTCAGAAACAGCTGGGTTTCCCTGGCTTTGGAGCCTGGCAGCCTGGCATCCTGGCTTTGAGAACCGGGCTTTAACTTGTCACGTGACTATGGCCAAGTTCCTGGGGCTCTCCAAGCTTCACCTCATCTGTAAAAAGGGCAATAATATAATACCTGTCTTACTGGGTTTTGTCCATGTTAGATGAGACATTGGGTGCAAAGCACTTGGTACCATGCCTGACAGATTTACTGCACTTAATGTATGATAGTTTCCTTATTATTCTAACAAACAGTATAGTTTTGGGAGTATAGTTCTGCCACATTGCAGTGGCCTGAGTGAAGGTGGTGAGTGCCTTCTGGGGCCCTGGGAGTCAAGGTTATCCGCATGCCCATTCTTGCTTGCTTCTCACCCTGGCTGCCTCTATGTCCATACCATGCAGACGCAACAGGTAGTTTGAACCTCTGAGGCCCACAGTGGGATGGGGAGGCAGGGACATCACTTATGGGGTGGGAAGTGGCCCATTCCCCAGGAAAATGTCCCCAGCTGCCTTTTCCATGGCTCCTCTTGAAACTCTGTGGAGGCCACATTCGTGTTGGGGAGGTGTTTCCCAGGAGGATGTGCTCAGATGCCTAGGCATTCTGAAAAGCCCTCTATACAGTTTCCTTTCATAACACGCGAGCATCCCCTTGGGCTTCTGTAATTTTTTTTTTTTCAGGACCTTATTTTTAGGCAAGTGGCCCTTTGACCTCTAAGGTTGTCCTTTCCTAGCTACCGAATCCAGCATTCAAAGTGATAAAAAAAAATTACAGTCATAGTAAAATATCAGCACTTATGGCCTGGTAAGAACGTCACTGCAATGCTGAGTTTCGGTCAACATTTGCCTACTCTTGCCATTGAACCTGGGCTCCCCTCCAGAACTGAGCTGCTGCAGGGGATCTGCGTAGCTAGGACTGTGTCAGAGTGGCGATGATAGCCACCGCATGCTAAGGAAGAGATCCCCAAGGACAAGGAGAATCCCACGCCGAGCTACTTGCTTCTTTGTCAGTCTTGTTTTTCTGTATTTCCCAACCTTGTTAAGCACAACCTCTCAACCTCTATTGTTGGCTTGCGTTTTTCAATCACCAGCACAGCTTTACCTGGCCCCATGCTTTGATTGACTATACCTGCCAATACCGCAGCAACGAGAAAGGGACGCCAGCCTAATACCACTAGATGGTGTGTAGCCTGGACATGAGGATAATTTAAAACTCCCTACGGGATTTCAGTATGTAACACGGTCTGGAAACCGTTGATGTAAGACCTTCTCACTCAACGTGTGCTCCAAGGAGCAGTAGCATCATCTTATCAGAAATGCGGATCAGGCCGCACTTGGACCTGTAGAATCAGAATCTGCATTTTATCAGATCCCGATGTTGTGTGTATAAACATTAGCGTTTGAGAAGTGTTGCTTTAAGAGACTAAGGGGGTCAGTCTACCTCACTTTGCAGCTCTGTGTTCCTTAGTTATTGTCTAAAACATCAGCGCCCCCTGCAAAGAGCCTTCCTCCCTTGTACAGTCAGTGATGGCCTGTGAACCTTTAGCCAACTGGAAGTGGGAGGGGACACAGTCCACAAAACACTATCCTGCCTTCTGACACCAACTACAAGTTCAAGGCGTTCCCCAAACCACCCTGAGTTGTGATAATTTGCTGAGAGATCTCACAGAACTCACTGAAAGTTGTTATACTCATGGTTATGATCTCTTATAGGGAGGGAATACAGATTAAAATCAGCCAAAGGAAGAAACGCATAGCACAGAGTCCAGGACAGCGCCCGACATGGAGCCCCCACAGTCCTCTCCCGTGGAGTCACGGACAGAGCCACTCTCCTGGCACTGGCGTGTGACAACACGCAGGGAGTGTTCCCCACCAGGGAAGCCTTGGTGTCCAGGGTCTTTACTGTGATTCTGTCACAGGAGCACAGCTGACTGCCCATGCGGCCGATCTGTTCCCAGACCCTCCACCGCTACACGTCACTCACAGTCCCTGCTCTAAATCACACACGGTGACCCAATGTCCCCAGGCAACGGAAAACACCTCTAGCAGGCAGGATGTTTCAGAGCCTTAGAGATCACCTCTCAGAAGCCGAGGGCAGAAGCCAGACCTCTTTTTGGGCAGTGTTAAATTCTTTACTACTGTGTTTGAAAAAAACTCCCAAAATGAGTTTTTCCTCTTCACTTATAGCAACATAACAACAGTCATCAATGCAGAAGGCTCCTGTGAGCAAAGGCGTGGGAGAAACCCCAGGCAGCAGACACTAGCTGGTGTCCTCCAACTCGATTCTGACGCTGTCTACTGGGAGACAGTGTCAGATCCTCCAGACGGAACCCTCCTTCTCCCAGGCAGAGGGCTGGCCTCCGGAACTTCTGACCAATCCACTTCAGGTTGAGGCTCCCACTACCCCGCTCTTTGGGTTCGATTGATTCGCTAGAGTGGCTCACATAACTCAGGGAAACACAGCTACCAGTTCATTGCGAAGGACACTTTAAAGGATAAAAATAGGCAGAGAAAGATGCATAGCGCGAGGTGTGGAAAGGTCCCTAGTGCAGGAGCTTCTGACCCTGTGGAGCTGGGGTGCGCCACTCTCTCAGTACATGAACGAGTTCTCCTTCACCTGCCTGTCAGCCTCCACATGTTCAGCTCCCCAACCTAGTCCTAGTCCTCTTGGGTTTTTGTGGAAGTTTCAAGACACCCACATTCTTTCCCCAGGGTATAGGACAAGAGCTTCCCTGGGGAGGGTCCTAAAACCCACAATCAGAAAGGTGGGGTGGGGGCAAGATTAGAGTCCTGCCTTGAGGGGCAGGTGAAAGGGGTGGGGGGAGTAGGTCAGAAAGATTTTGTTTTTTTTTTTTTGAGACGGAGTTTCACTCTTGTTGCCTGGGCTGGAGTGCAGTGGCGCGATCTCAGCTCAGGGCAACCTCCACCTCCCGGGTTCAAGCGATTCTCCTACCTCAGCCTCCCGAGTAGCTGGGATTACAGGCATGCGCCACCACGCCCAGCTAATTTTGTATTTTTAATAGAGATGGGGTTTCTCCATGTTGGTCAGGCTGGTCTCAAGTTCCCAACCTCAGGTGATCTGCTCGCCTCGGCCTCCCAAAGTGCTAGGATTACAGGTGTGAGCCACCGTGCCCGGCCGAAAGATTCTGTTTTTGAGGACTGCCCCTGAGGTCTAACACACTCAACATTGTAACAAGACTGTAGTAAGGGCTATGGGAGTTATGAGCCAGGAACTGTGGACGAAAACCTATTACAGATATGCATATCTGTAATAACTCCACAACTACACACTGCCTTATTGCTCAGTTCTTCTCCCCATGTCTCTGACCCACCTTTGCCCCCTTCCTCCATCCTTTTCTCCATTGCAAACCCATTCACTGTGCCCTTTGGAAAGCTCACACCATGAACTGCAAACTCTCGTGCGGCTTTAGCCTCTTCTCTGAAAGTTCCTCTCACCTATCGCTTTCTCTGGAATCTGCCATCCCTGCCACCTTCTCAAAAAAGGCCTTTTATTCTCTCCGTTCCACAAAGCTCAGGGTCAACACATGGGGTTTACACTGGAAGCTGAGGTCGCATCAGGAGCTGGGATCAGGGTAGACCTAGCTGCCCAATGCAGCTCCCAGACCTCCTGTAAAACGCTGACCTTTGAGGTCATGACAGCCCTCTCCCGCTATGCTCATAGCTGACCACTGAGCACCTGGACACTCTC